ACTGTCCACTAAGCTTCTGCTTATTGGAGGGTTGACTATTGGCTGGTGACACCAGAGCAAGAGTGTGGACACTGGAGCAAGCCGGGGGACTTCGTCCATCCCACCCTGGTATCTCTGGCCGGAGTCCTTGCTGACTGGAGACATGCAGGGCGGTGTGGCAGGGGTCACCATTTTTGTAGGGCTGCCCCTTTATTCTTGTTTTATTGTTTTCTGCCTGTCCCCAGCCTGGCTATTAGTTCTGTCCCTGCCTAGCTCCCACTTCTACCATTCAAGACCTGTCTGCTCCCTTCTGTGGAGCTGCAGGGAGAGGTGGGGGATCTTTCAGGATCCAGAGAGATAAGGAGCCAGGGGCTGAGAATAGGGGAGTCCCCCAAGTTTTTGCATGAAGAGCTAGGACGAAAACTTTTCTAAATAGGTGATTTACTGCAATTTAGCTAACTGCTGAATATCACATTGCATCGGTACATTAAGTAAGCAAAACATGACAGAGTGTGCTTTATTATGCAAGACATAGTTTTAATCATTCGTCACTTCAATGCAGCATGTACCCATTGCACCAATCTGGTGCTTTTTCAGTGGCAGTGTTCAAGTACAACACAATTATAGCCCCAGCAAACTAAAGGTGGAAAGAATTTCCCTCCCCCCATCTATGTTCATCTAACCGCTTTTCAGATTTATGTGTCCAAGGTTAAGACAACTGAGGCCTCCTAGAAAATTTAAAAATAAAAGTCAGTTACAAAATTCTATTTATATCTTTTGTCTGATTCCAGACCCTGGAAAATCCACATTAGAAAAACATCAATTTCTCCAGATAAGGAGCAGAACTGGGACCAACTCCAAGTCTTAAAACCAAATTTCAATGAGCAGAGTTCTGAATGAAAAAGCAGTTCTAAGGGTCTGAACCAATCCCCCGGGTCAGAACAGCTCTGGTTTGGATGGGGATCCCAGCTTCGTAGATCAAATATGTCCATCTTTGGAAAAGCTGGAACTGATTTCAGTTTCACTGAAGTGCCTCTTTCCTGTCTCCCTTAGATGCTTTTACAATATGGCAACACATGCAACATATTTAAAATAAACAAAAAATCCACAAAAAAATCCACCCACAAGCACATCCATAAGCTGACCAACACAACCCAAACTATACAGGTCAATATAAAAATGCCCCAAAATAACAACAGCAAAAAACTCGAATCTCTCACTACCCACAAACCTAAAAAACAAAACCCTGGGGGAAAGGTGAACTTTATAGTGAACAAACATTGTCCCACCAAGTTCAGACAGGAAGTTCCAGAGGCAAGTCACCTGCCTGGAAATGCCCTGGCACCGGCCCCTCCCTTTATAATTTAGGGTATAGTCAGCTCAAGAAGGCCTGGCCAAAAAGTTTGCGAGGCCCAAAGCGGTTGGCTGTACCACGTGGCTGGGCGGCTCCCAGCCAGGGCAGTGAATGAGCAGCTGGGCGGGCACTGGGCAGCGCAGGGCCCTGAAGGTGCAGGGCCCATGGCAACTGCCTTGCCCTAAGGCCAGGCCTGAACTCAAGTCCCAGACAAACTGCTGTGACATGGGAAGAATCTTCAATTGTTTAGGGCAATCTAGGTTCAGAAACAAATCTTTGATCTCTACCCAGAAACTCAGTGGCACTCAGTCCGTGGGTCAGCACTGCCCTGTGTGGCTGCTCCCTTTCCTACTACCCCCGTAGGGGACAGTTCTCATGCACAGAAACTCCAATAGTCTGATGTTGGTCAGAGCATCATTCTAGGACATTTCTCTCCTGAATGCATGGGGGGCGGGGCATATCATTTAGCTATGCTTCACATAGGGAAGCATGTGACCCTATGTGTTACCCATAAATGTAATAATCCATTTGACACCAAGAAGAAAAAGCATCTATGAATACATTTTCATTCAGATCTGACCCTATAGCTGATTCCCCTAATCCCATTGTGCATTTTCTTATCTCCTTGCCTCTGCTCCCAACTGTATTGCAGATGTTAGCAGTCCTGATAGAGCACAAAGCCAGTTAAAATAAGTTTTGCTTTTTCTGTTCATGTTCAGGCCAGCAGGATGCTGCGATTGTGGTACAGACTGAAGGAAATGTTTGAATATTAACAAGCAAATTAGATTGGGCTACAGCTCTGCATTAATATTTTCATTATCACTGAATGCAATAGTGGATGATCCCTTTACTTCAAGGTACGTCTAGCACAGTGTCTGAGTCTGTGTATAAATAAATTTAATGGAAAAAACCACCCCAGCTGTCAAAAGATTTGAACTTAATGCCTTTGAAATGCAAGGCAGGCACTTTATTCAACATCCCACACATTTTAGTTAAACTGCCTGTGGAAACGGATTGGTGTCAGATTGGCCACAAGAGGTCACTCTTCCACAAAGCCAATAGGACCATCTTGAGAAATGCAGCAAAATGATGATAAACAATGGAATCTGACCTGGGGCAAAAAAAGGTAAATGAGCAACATGATGGGCAACTGAAAATCAGCATAAACAAGTGCAAGACTATGTACATTGGGAGAAGTAGTTTGTGGTTACATATACACACTAATGGATTTTAAACTGAACAGTAACTATGGAAGGAAAAAATAGCATCATCTAAAATATTTTCCTCTCTTTTGACCTCAAATTTCTCTACTGCATAGCCCCCTCCTCTTCTATATAAGAAGAGGAGACCAACGTTCAATCAAATTTGGTATCCTGCAGTGGTAGGTATTTACTTCAGTGGCATTAATCCCTGTAATATACTACTATGCAATAACACACTTACCAGGGACATTCCTTCCTAATCACAGGAAAACTTGTTGGCTTATGTACTGAAAGATGAGGGCTGATATTCTTCATAATTCTGATCACAGGTAATTTAAACCAGAGATTTACTGACCCGACCTGAGACTCAATCTTCCCCCTCAGACACCATCTGTCCCTGGTTGGGGATTAGGAAGTGAAGATCGGGGCCTCAGTAGCAGCATCGATAAATGCCTCCTCCCCCCCATCACAGTCCAGACAAACCCGGATCCTGCTGGGGGGGATCAGGGGCAGGGGGGTCAAAGGGTCAGTGAGAGCCCGGAACTTATCCCTCCACTGACCTACAGCCCAGATGCCACCCTTGGGGCTCAGGCTGATCTGTCCCTTCCTGCTCACAAACTCTCTGGCCACCCCCACAGCCCAGTATCGCTCACCCCTCACCTCCACCTCCACCTCCACCTCCCAGTAATGTCTCCCTGAGGTGAACCCCTGGGCGCCCAGAACACAGGGAGCATTCACAAATCTCTTGGGGTTAGGGGGCACGTCCTGCGGGGAGTGTAGACGCTCTTTTCCGGCTTTTCTAAAAGCCGGAAAAAAGCGGCGGACATTTTTATTTAAATGCCGCGGGGGATATTTAAATCCCCCGCGGATTTCCCTACTACGATAGCTGAAATTAACATGCCCCTTCCGGAAAAGGGGCCAGTGTAGACGTAGCCAGGGACTATGAAACAGCAATATAGACGTTCAGGCTCCCCCAGCTCCCTCTGGCTCCATGAGCAAGAACAAGTCAGTTGACCTAGGCCAAATGTCCTGGTTGCATCCTTGCATCCTTCCTAATCCGAACTATCTGTACACCTCGTTCCACGAGGCATACAGATAGTTCGGATTAGAAGCCTAATCCGAACTATCTATCCCGTGCCGCGTGTAGCCGCGCGGCACAGGGTTCGCACTAGCCGGCTTTTAAAAATGGCGGCGCCGGCTTTATGCTAATGAAGCCCGGGAAATTCAAATCCCGGGCTTCATTAGCAAGTGCGGTATGCATACATTACCCCCCTAGTTCGAACTAGGGGGGTAGTGTAGACATACCCTGAGTGACTAACAGATTCATTAGGGCATCAGCCTGTGTGGGTTAAACAGAGGCAGGAGTGTAGATGGACTTGTACCCTTTTTCTTTTTTTTGTGTTATGTCTATACACAAGTCTCAAGGGTGCCACAGAACTGCTTGTTGTTTTTTGTGACAGAGCAGGATAAAGGGCTTGGTGGAAGGGGAAAGAGGCAGCTCTGGAGCAAAGAGAGAGAGAGAGAGAGAGAGAGAGATTGATTGATTAATTGATTGATTGATTGATTAGAGATAGAAAAAGACAACTGAAAAGCAGACTGGAGGAGCCAAGCAGAACAGCATCTGCCCTGCTAAAGGCTGCAGGGAGGCGACAGAGGGACAAACACCAAAACAAGGCGAGTGAGTCTTATACCGTGACTCCTAAACTGTGGGCTGAACAGGGGACTGACCCTGTCACACTTTGCAGACAAACACGTCTCCCCCTCTAAGACTTATCAGTTACATGGTCCCAATTAGCTTTCCCTGATGGGCCTTTCCTCACTTGTATTTAAAGCCCTGGAGCTTGGCCATCTCTTGCTGACACCAGCCCAACTTCTGCTCCCTCCTGCCATAAGTCTGAGATCCAAGATAATGACATGAGTCAACAGACTCCTAATTAAACGTCTACGGCTAGTCATCGGGGGCAGACAGAGAATTAGGGGCTTCTACAAAAGAAGGTGTTTAGTGGTGGACAGCGGGGAAGGAGGGTTTCATTGGTATAAATGAAGGAATGGAGGGTAACATGGATGAGAGGGTTAAAACCAGCAGAAAGTTGGGATCTGATGGAGAAACGGGAGATCTCTGTGGGCAGAGAGAAGAGAAAACAGGCACCAGCTGAACACGGATCAGGGGGATTCTGGGTTTGAACTCTTGTGTCTGGTCCCCGCTCTCGTTCCTCTCCCTGACTCTGGGACTGGGATCCTAAGGAGGAATACTGACTCAGCCACACATAAGGAATTAATCCCAGAGGCAGGGGAGCAATTTGTAACCAGGAGATGCTGGGCTGTTCCTTGCCTCTTCCTCCTTCGAGCCTCAACACCTTCACTTTTCCCACCAGGAAAATACTCTATTCTGTTTGTTATATGTTCACCTTCTTATACAGTGACAGAGCAGGGTCACCCACTGATTAAACATTTGCTGTGATTACCTGCATCACATTGGGATCTCCTCCACTCTGAAAGTCAAGACACAGATCATTAAGATTCGCTCTCACAGTAAAGACGGCACTAGACAGAGAAATAAAACAAACAACAGAAAGTCCTTACCCAGCTCTGTGCGAATTTTTCCTAAATAATAAAGAGAAAGAAGATCAGGCTGTAAAATCTTGTGTGAAATTAACAATCCCAGGCCCCCAACCTACTGATCATGGAGGCTTATCCTGTATCCGGTCCCTAGGCATTGTTTTATGTCGATACAGGCCTAGGGACCAGACACAGCATAAGCCACCCTGGTACAAGTCACTTTTCACCCTGGCACAGCTGTGTGAGGGGTGTGAGCTGTGTCAGCTTGATAGGGAAAGGCAGAAAGAGCCCCGAGATCGCCCCATGTCCAGTTTTCCAGGCTGGAGTCTGGCAAAAGGTCACAATTCTGACTCACAAAGTGCCAACATGCTGAGGTTGTGGGCACTGACTGTACATGACGCTGACCCCACTGGCCACATCTTTACTTCTCTCCTGAGCTGCCACCAGCCCCTCTCTGACATTCTTTGTACAGAGCCATTCTGCCATGAGCATCAAGTGCACAAACCCCTCCCCCCCTCCTGATCACTGGCTCCATTTGGCCCCACTTAAGACACTAGCACAGTACCGGGTTCCTACTCTATTACTTCGGTAACTAGTTACGCAATTAGCATGGGCAGCATTGCTTAGGGTTGGCAAGTTGTCATTGTCACAGCCGTGTAAAAATCTTCCATAACATAAAACTGGTTCTCCCAGGAGAGGGAAAGAACTTACTGATGGTGTCGAGATGTTTCCCTAAAAGAGAAAACAAACACAATTATTTGGAGACTTTTTCAGCTGATCTAGATTTAAAGGAATCTTTTCATAATGAATCCTCAAGTAATGACCAGGCTGCCCCTCAACCAAGCAGTTGTAGCTCTCCAGCAGCTTGCGGGTTGGTTCCCAGAAGTCAAAAATCAGTGTCACACTCTCCTTTCCATATCTTCTTCTGTTTCTTTTTGCAAAACAGGTTTCTCTCATATTTGGCCCATCTACACAGGGCCAAATGTCGGGAAAAAAACCTTCTTTTGCAAGACTCCTTATTCCTCATAAAATGAGGTTTGCAGGGTCTTGTGAAAGAAGGGGTTTTTCCAACATTTGCCTTCCGTAAATGGGCCAAATATCAGAAAAACCTCTTCCTCAAAAAGAAACGGAAGAAGATATGGAAATCACACTCTCATTTGCATATCTTCTTTTGGAAAAAATGGCAATGTAGCCATAGCTTCAGTGTGGACTCACTGGGCAGAGCTCTTGGTATGAAACAGGAGGGCTGGAACCCAGAGGCCCAGCTGAGGCAGTGCTGAGGCTGAGGGACCTACTCTGAAGGAAAAGTGACACCCCTCTGGGATCTAGTTAAATAGCTTCCTGCAAGACTCAGCTGGGACTTAGCACCGATCCAATGGATCCATGACACTAGAGAATCTCAAAACTTGGTGTCTCGAGAATTGATGCCAAGCCCAAGACGAAGAGCAAACGCCTCCGTTCCTTATTCAGCTTCCTCTTCCTGAAGCTTCTCAGAACCCAAAATGCAGCCTGTTTGCCCAAGCCTGGACATTCGCTCACATGTGAGGCTGAATACTGAAGCCACCTGACAGAGCTCTCACACCAGCAGGACTAAGCCTTCCATTCATGCTGCAGTAATCTGAACACGCTGGAACTGAACATCAGAAACTTCCCAGGGCAGGTATCTCTCTGGAGCCTGGGGGAGTCCAGCTCCAAAGCACATTGAATGTCAGTGGGAACTCAAATTGAGATCAGAAACTTCCCAGGGCAGGTATCTCTGTGGAGCCTGGGGGAGTCCAACTCCAAAGCACATTGAATGTCTGTGGGAACTCAAATTGAGGCCTGGTCTGCACTGGGGGTTTGGGTTGGACTGAGCCCCATGACATTGATTTTCCACTTGAAATTAAAGGGGCTGAGCCAGTCAGATCAAAAAGCAAAGGAGGCAAAGGGATGGTCTGGAGCACCCCTGACATGATGCTGCTTCTGTGAGCAGTGGCATGGGATCCTTAGGGGGACCAACCAGCTTCCCCAGCAAGCCCCTGGATTCCTCCCAAGACACTTGGGCAGCAGCTTGGAGCACAGCGAGGGAGAGGAGGGGGAGAATGGTCAGCAAGCGAATGAGTCACTGCAAGCCAAGAACTTGTTATAACGTTAGAAGCAATCGCCTCCTCCCAGGATGTGTCACTGCTAGGATGCAGCAAGCGAATGAGTCACTGCAAGCCAAGAACTTGTTCTAACGTTAGAAGCAATCCCCTCCTCCCAGGATGTGTCACCGCCAGGATGTGCCCCTTGAACTGAGATGACTTTCCCAGGTAGAATATCTAATCTATTTTTAAGGAGAAAATCCCATTCTGGTTACTTTGTATTTCCCCGCTTTGAGCTTTACCTCTTACTCTGAATAGAAACCAAGCCAGGCAGATGAATGACAACAAAATCATCAAGGTCACGCTCCAGCCCACCATCCAGGGAGAGGCTCTTGGGAAAAAGGAGTCTGAAACACAAAGCCCCACTAGCTTGGGAATGGTAGCGACAAGCAGCCTTCTAGAGAAATGCTTCACCTTAGATTCGGTGTGAAATACATGTGAGAAAAGTTGTTCCCTGCAATATAAAAACTGGCAGAAACCAACTTCAAAACCAGATTCTGCTCATCCACTTTTGATCATGTTGAAAAAGGTATTAAACATGATCACTGAGCTACCAGTTCTAGCGCCTCTCTGCCCCACTCCTCTATTGCCTTCTCTCTCTCTCTCTCTCTCTCTTCACGTCACCTTTATGAAAGTTGCTTGGTGCTTCTCCTGGCAGGGCCTTCTTTTCATTTGTTCACTAATTTTTCAAACTCACGGCCTTCTTTTCATTTGCTCACTAATTTGCCAAACGCAGTCCATCTGGGCAGAAGGGTCCCTGTGGGGTGTCTGTTTCAGACTGAGCATTTTGGAAAAGTGCCAGTCAGAATGGGCCAACTCTGGCTGAGCCAGGGATGAGGGAGTAACATGTTGGTAGGGTGCAAGGGAAGGCTCATGGCTGGGGCAAGGGGTTGGGGTGCAGGCTCTTACCTGAGGCAGCTTCTTTTTGGCAAGTGGCTCAGTGCAGACCACACTGCCCTGTGTTTGCCTGTGGGCACCACCTCTTGTAGCTCCCATTGGCCAAGATTCCTGGCCAATAGGAGCTGCGGGAGCAGATCCTGCAGGCAAGGGCAGTGCAGGGATGGAGCTTCCCTCAGCACATGCAGCAACATGGTTTCAGCCCAGTGGAGGGGAGGGCAGCTGGCAGAGCTACATGTCCCCCCATGCCCCACCAGTCAGGGCCAGATAACACACAGAGACTTTAGTGGCTGCAGCCCAGAGCCCCAGGCTCACAGAAAATCCTGCACTTTAGCTGGGCTGGAGATCGCTGGAAAGCCCCTCCCCTCCTCTCAGCTCTCCCTGCTCTCTGGTGTCCCTGTAGGTCACTTTCATGTGTTAACATATTTGGATTTCCTGTAAATGTAATGGTAACCCTCAATTGTCTGGGTTCAAGATGCTTGTTTCTGGGATAACTACAAAATCCCTGGAGTGCATTTTATCCAACATTGTACCCGCACCTTCTCTTCATCTGAAATATAGTTGTTGTGAGGGGATATTCACACTAAGACTTTTGTTTGATTTAGCAACCTCATTTTTAATTCTTGCCGGTATGACAGAAAGTGGTTTTGGTACTAACTGACCTGATATGTAGAAAGTCACCGATTCCCTTTCTTTGTCCAGGTGTGTGTTCCTCATAGAACAGGACAAATTCTTGTTTGAATTTTCCATTATAACGATAAAATTTTTTATTTTAAAGAATGTTCCTCATAGAACAGGACAAATTCTTGTTTGAATTTTCCGTTACAACGATAGAATTTTTTATTTGAAAGAAACCACCTTCCTCTTCAGACTTTGTTTCAGTGGATGCAGATAAAGGCTGCCCCTTGGGATCTCTCCACAGCACCTGGGGCTGTGGGTACCATCCGGCCGACTGACACACCACTCGGATCCCTCCGTCCTGGTGACCCTCAACAGAGATGCGAGGTGCGGAGCCTAAAGCTGGAATGAATCAGTGATAAACTAAATGAGCCTACAGCCGAGTGATCCAATAACATCATTGAATGCTCTTTATTGCTGATGTTCACAGAAAGAGGAAACTTGACTTAATGAAACTGTCATGGCCCAGAGGCTGTGTTGTACGAAAAGACCTTGGTGGCCACGTCTGAGAAATGCTGCACTGAACTAAATTTTTTAGGCTGCTTTAAATGCACTTTAGCTGTGGATAGCTACATCTAACGGTCTATACTGCAGCCTTCTACCGCAAACGCTTATGCAAATGAAGCACAGAGTAGAATCACAGCACTTCATTTGCGTAATTAATTAGCAAGAGGCTTTTAAGCAAAAAGTTGCTGTGTAGACGGCTCCTTTTTGCACAAAATACTCCTCTTGCGCAAGAGCTGTTTTTCCTGAAAAAATGAGGAAGAATGGCTCTTGTGCAAGAGGGGGATTTTGTGCAAAAAGGAGCCATCTACATAGCTCCTTTTTGCACAAAAACATCTTGCACAAAAACAGCCTCTAATTATGCAAATGAAGTGTGGCAATATGCTAATCTGCGCTTTATTTGTATAAGCTTGTTCAGAAGAAGTCTGCAGTATAGACATAACCAAGATGTTCTCTCTTCACTCCTGTCCTAAACCAGGCCAACAGCAAATTGACTGATACCTGCACTGAAGAGAACCGTGCTGGGAACAAAGTCACCTAGACCTGGCAGAAGCCTGCTGTGGATTGTCAGAGTGTGTTCAGATCATGTTTTATAGCAGAGTCAGTAGTGCGCAGGTATGAATAGTTGCAGAATGATCCCGTTTATGGAAAAGGAAAGATAAAGTAACAAAGAACCGAGAAGAGGCCTGTTTGAAGTCACACTGGCCCTGTGCTGGCAGGGGAGGGGAGCTGACATGGACATGGGAGGCTAAAGCATACGTATAAATAACAAAAAGGTGTAGAGCAGTTTGTATAGTAAAGGGAGGTTGAAGCTGTGTTGTCCACTATTGGAGGCAACGGTGATGCAATCACTCAGTGTTGTGAGTGTTTGATCACTACTTGCTGAGTGTTTTGCCTTAAGAGTCGTTAGATCCAGCTGCTGCTAAATGCATCTCAATCCAACAGCACAGGCCCATATGCAGGGGTGTGTGAACACACACCATCATGGTCCTTCATAGTTCACCAGGGGGCTGGTTCTGGATGACTTAGGGAAGGCAGGGGCAGGAAATTGCCCAAGTCTCCCTCCCCCATGTTCCAGCCTGCCACGGAAAAGCTGGGAGGTGCATTGCCCCAGTCTCCCGCCCCTGTGCTCCAGCTGTCCAGGAAAGGCTGTCCAGGAAAGACCCAGAATGAGACTGGGGGCAGGGCTGGGCCACCGGAGTGGACCGGCCTGGACCACAGGGGTGAGGAGGGGAAGCCACCAGCCCCTCCAACAGCTTGCAACCTCCCCCCTCCCCTGAAATTCCTGTGTACGGCCCTGCAACATGAACTGAGTAACTGAAAATGTCTTAGTGTGACCAGATACAGTGAAGGGTGATGATAACCTAGAAAATTCCTGCCTCTCTTTCTCTCTGGCCCAAGGACTGTTCTAGTGTTTATCAATATGTAAAGTCACTGGGCCAGAGAGAGAGCATAGCACAGGGCAGGGCCAGATTATCCATTCAGCACAATAGGCATAGTGCCTATGGCCTGCAAAAAAGTTCAGGGCCTACAAAAAATTAGACCCTAAAAAAATGAATACTAGACTTGAAAATAAGAATAGAAAACTGCTAACTCAGACTTAATAATTTGCTTTCTTTAGTCAACAAACAACATACGGGTATAACATACAATTAACTCTTAAGCATACAGGCAATCAGGCATTTCTCCCTTAGCATGCGTCTACACAATACTCTTAGCTCAAAACAAGCTAAGCAATTTGCACTACACAAATTGTGTAGTTTATTTTGAAATGGCTTATATTTTCAGTATTTTTTGCTCCAATTCCCATTTTGAAAAAAATTGAAATCTCTCCTTTTTTTTCAGTGCCAAATTTCAAAATAACTCACTTTTCTGGAACGTCCCTTAACCCTCATGGAACAAGGGTTTCTGGGATGTCAGAATAAGCCACCTGTTATTTCAAAATCTATTTCAAAATAACAGGCTGCTTCAACAGATGTGGAATAGCTACGAAATAGCTCCGCAGTGCAGACATACTATTCGATATTTATACAGAATCTAATTTAAAGGCCTATGATTATGAGCGTGCCAAGGGCTACAGAAACCTTAATCCATCCGTGGTGCAGTAGATCAGGTGCACCCATGGGAAGTGGGAAAACTCATGTCCAGTCCTGCTTTTTTGGTGGTGATTTTATTACTTGGCAGATTAGATAAATAATCAAAGATTAATTAGAACAGGGAGACTAGCCCTTGGGTATCCCACCTCTGGTGCTGTAACCACAGGACTATAGAGTCTCCCTTTCTCCCTCTGTCTCTCATAACAAATATTTAATTACTGACAATCTTGAGGATACCAGGGGCACCTAAATTTTGGACTGAGGTTTGGAGTTAGGTGCCTAACCACTTTTGTGGTTTTGGGTCCAAGAACCATCTAAGAAGAGACGACAGACCCATGTTACTGACCTGCGACCTCCAATTCCAGTACAGATTCTTCATGAAAGTCACCGTCCTGAACAGAACAACGGTACAGTCCTTTGTCAGAGTGCCTCACATTGATAATTCTCAAGTCAACAATCCCTTCTGTGATGCTGGCTTTCAAAAGCTTCGTCCTGCCACGGTACTCAGGCATCTGCTGCACATATTCATCCTGCTTGTGCTGGTACAGGTGCACAAAGGGAGTGATCTCAGAGCGGAACCATCTCACCTCCATGTGCTCTGCGCTGATGCTGGGTGACAGGTGACAGGGTAACGCGATGTCCCCACCCAGAGTGGCCGTGACAGGGTGACCAGGTCCAACCACAGTGAACTGGGCTGGGAAATGCACCAGAGCCCGGAAAAGATAAAACAAATAAACAAAAGGGGAATTGAATATAAAGTGAATCAGTTAGTCACACGAGGTTCTAATTTGCATATTTCCCCTGTGTTGCTTGGGCCCTTAAGGAGGGGACCAAGTCTGGAGGCTAGAGGTGTGGGGGGGTGCACGCTCCCCAGCCAGAGTGAGGGATGCAGTAAACTGGGCACTTTCCCCTCACTTCCTGACAAAGAAGAACAACCAGCAAAGTCCCTGTATAAATCTGGGGCAGGGGAGGGAGCTTCAGTCCCCTCTGCCCCCACTTTAGGCAGGGCCGGCTCTAGGTTTTTTGCCACCCCAAGCAAAAAAATCCCCCCTCCCCTTGGCCCACTGCTGCAGGACAGGCACTGAGGAGGAAAGCGCCCCTTTCACCTTGTGCCTCTTTGACTCCCACCATGTCCTCCAGCCAAACCCAGCCTACGTCCTGTCTCCCCTCCACACACATCCCTGTCCACACACATCCCGACTCCCCCCTCCCCACGCACTCACCAAACCTAGGCAGTTTCCACTTTCTCTCCCCTTGCAGGCAAATCCGGCCCCTCAGTGACCAGATCCAGTCCGCCCCCCCCTTTTCTCCCCCACCTAATCCACCCTGCGCCTTCTCTTCCCTCCCAGCCAAACCCAATTTCCTCCCCGCGACAGGACCCAGTCCTCTTCCTTCTCCCACCAGCCGGGAAACGTAACGGGCAAGGCCGGGGTTCGGAGAGCAGCTCCTGGAGCGAGGCAGCAACACCTCTCTCCCTCCCCCCCCCCAAATCTCTGAGCCGGGGCAGGCGAGGCCTGCTCCAGTGGCTGCTCGCCGCCAGCCCAACCAAATGGGGCTGCAAAGTAGCTCTCCCCTCCACCCAGCCTAGGTGCCTCTGCTTGAATCATCCTGCCTGGGCAGGGCCTGCCTTCTGCCTGGCTCCACCAAGGCAGCAACTCTCCCCTCCCTCCACGCCCAGGACTGAGGCACTGACCCTTCTCCCCTGGCGGCCGCGTAGCGCTAGCGCGTGCTACCCCTGCAGGCCGCCGGCTCCGCCGCCTCGCCCATTGCTTTGGGCGGCCACAGGCAGGCCCGCGTCGGGCGGTGAGGCTGACCTGAAATGCCAGAGTTTAAAGAGAAGTGAGATCAAGTCATGGAGGTTGGGTCCATGGAGTGCTATTAGCCAGGGGGTAGGAGTGGTGTCCCTGCCCAAGGTTTGTGGAAGGCTGGAGAGGGATGGCACGAGACAAATGGCTTGGTCACTGTCTTCGGTCCATCCCCTCCAGGGTCCCTAGGATTGGCCACTGTCAGCAGACCGGCTACTGGGCTAGATGGGCCTTTGGTCT